ATTCGTAAGACAAATCGTGAAGCCATGTGACTAAATTGATATGACTGTGAGCAGCAGAGAATTTTGCTGGAAACCTTGTCATCCAGTTATTAATACGGCATCATCAATGTGTGGGGTATTTGAGATAAACTTATCTTATATGTTAATTTATCCACTCTCATTCTACTCAAATTGAAAAGGGATTTGAGAGAACCATTATGATGATTATTTTTTTACCTTACGTTCCGACTGGAAAGTAGGGTTTGAAGCTAGAGCTTTTAGGTTTCAGTGGCAGTGGTTTCCATTCTTACGGCTTGAGGTTGCTAGTCGCACACTTAACCTTCACTCTTTACCGAACTTACTACCGACTAGGCGAGGTTTAGGAGTTTGTCGGCTGAGGATCGATTTCCGGACCTCGTGCGTCGTGGTTGGCGAGCGTTATACCGCTGAACTTTAATAAGCAGAACTATGAGGGGAAAAGAATAGTGAGACGGAAAACATGACGGTTTAGTGTATATGGGGGATCACAAAAAGTGAATGCATATATGCCATTAAGAACTTTTCTAGCCAAGCCTACCATCCTTATGTTCCCAACCCTGCAGGTAATCTACACCTCCGTCCGTGAATAGCTCAAATTAACAGTCAAAGGCGTCGTGGATGGATAACAGGAGGAGTGACAATGTATGTACGAACCTATTCTCCTGTCAACTGTTGAGCGCATGAGATATAAGTGTTGGACACTATGAAATGCCTTTCCTCTTACACCACAAAAAAGTCGACTGACCACTTTTCTGCTTCTGACACTAGTCGCATAACTAAGGGACAGTGAGTGATATGATGAGCGTTTGGTATCACTCTTGCAATCACTGATTTCTAACTGTATAAGTGCCATTTTGGAATCTTCGGTATGTTATTCAGCATACTAAAGGTTGAATAATCGCACACAAATTAGTCGGTCTAAGCGGTGTCTTTGTAGTATTATCCAGAATCTTATTCGTGGCAACCCTGTCTTACCCTTCTTCTCATTTGAAAGTGGAGTGTTAGATTCATATGAACTGTGATCAAGATTTGACCGGATAGTTGTAAAATAACTGAGCGCTGAGTGAGATACTCGTAAACTGTCTAAAGTGCTTTTGTGTAGAGCCTTTCCGGTGCTAATACCCTGCACAACAACACTCTAATGAGTAATTTTAGAGAGCTGCCATATCTACCAAAGGCAACCCAGTCGCAACAACTATTAGTTTGCTGTACATGTAACGGTTTTCAAGTAATAAGCGGTGGTTGATTACATGGTTAAAACACCAACAACGTGGGAATAAGTCTCTGTTGTTTGTGATGCATTTTTTTTGCGTTTTGTGAAGTCTGTCAAGTATGACAATGTGCATTATTCCTGAAGTGACTGATATCCCAGTAGTTGTCAGAGAAATTACCTCAGTCGTCTAGATCGAGTGCTATATGTCCCCTCCCCCCGAATTATTTTGAGCCTCTTCTTCATCGGAGCGTCGTTAAATGGATCAGTGTTAACTGACGAGAGGACTATACTTCTACAAGTAGATCAGTTAAGATTTACTTTCAAGGTGCTCTGATAAGCGTTGAAGGTTGTTGGCCGACACGCCATCTGCTTGATGGGCCAGTTTTCTTGCTGCTAATATTTTGGATTTGCTGAATATAAAGATTTCGGTTGTCGGCAGCTATTACTACAGTCAAGCTTTGTTATCAGTGGCTCCTACAGTCATTCGCTTAGTGAGCGCAGTGGGATTTTGTGTGTAAGAAAGAGTCCTACACAGATTATTGTACTCGTCATCTGTCAGAATAAATCGACGGCTATTAAATGGTTTCAAATGGAGCTTACTGTAACGCGGTTTTTGTTAGTGAGGCAAGCATTCTTTGAGACCACCAATACTTTTAGTTGCTATTTTCGTGATTTCTTGTAAGTGTTGCTAATGTTCGTTTATTCTTTCTGGAGTATTAGTGGCCGACATCGAATCGAATGAGGTGTTCTGTTGGGCTTCAACAGGAAGTGGAGTTTGTGTCGACTTGATTAGGACGTTTAGTTGGATTACTCTTGGTCGATGCTAAATTATGACGAGAATCCAAAAAAGTGCACAAAAGAGTTTAGGATGATGGTTTCATCGGAGATAGGTAATGTCAAAAATGAGCGACCTATGTGTAACTCTTAAAGACAATCCACAATAATTAATCTGATGCCAGCTAGGCTTTATTGTTCATCTGAAGGATTCTCCTGAGCGTAGACACCTGACTTGTGAATTCAGATCTCTAGCTAGTACAAGGGTATCTGTCCAATGCGATTGGTTCAAAGGAATCAGTGGAGAGGTAGACATAATATTTAGTTGTGTCAAGTTAATTAGGCGGACGTGTCGAAAAATCAACACTTCTCCTGTTGATTACTGTTAGTGTTGACCAAACTGTCTAGCCTAGTAATAACAAGAGCAACTGTTGAGTGGTATTGAATGGAGTTGTGGTGCTTTATATATAGCACTTAGTTTCAGGATGGACACTGATGACAGAGATTCCTCGGTGACCAGATACAGAAATATTTTTCACATGATGGGTGTTGTTCTATCCACTTCACTTGGGTCCTGTATGCAAGCTAGGCACTTAGAAGCGATTGCTTCAAGTTCTGGCCAAATATCGGATTCTTTCCACTTACATCCTGATAGGGTTACTTGAGAGACACATTTTAGTATGTGTATGCACAAACTCGGAGATGTTCGGACGAAATCTAACAAACTGGCGGGGTGAGCTGCAAAGATATGACTTCAAGGGAACTCAGAGAAGACAGAGATGATGAAGACAACCAACCAACCAACCGACAGCAACAACAACAGGACCAATCAATATCAAGAGACGAAATTTGACTGAGGTCACTTCCTCAACTTATCGAGAGAGAATCGTTTCTGCTGCAAGCGGAACGTATTAGGGAGTGAAAATCAGAATCAGGAAGGTAATATGCACTTTCATCACACTGAAATCAGTCTGGAAATCTTCCGCACTCCGTCTCAGCGTAAAGAACAAGATATGGATTTCCAACACAAATGTGAAGTCAGTCAGCTCTTCTATATGGATGAGAAACTTAGCGCGCATCACGAAAAGGTTATTTTACACCTTTTTCAACAGCTGCTTTCGCTAGCTCCATCTTGAAGATCAGATTAACAACAAGAAACTGTCGGAATGAACGATCCAAGAACATATTGCTCAACAGCTATGTAGAAAATGGAGATGAGCCAGACCCATAGTGTCGAAAGACATCGCTCACCAGGCCGTCTAGTAGTGGAATCTGAATGGGAAATGACGAGTTGAGAGTGGGTCTCAGGGTGACATGCAGAAGGTGTTGCGAGGAGGAGATAAAAGCCTACGGTCAATAGTGGGGCCATCTAAAGGGTACCTCAGAAAATAGTACAAAGTGGAGTCGTATCGTCGTAGCCCTATATTCCACTGGAAACACAAGGAAATATTATTAATAAGAAAATAATAATGTACCATCGTGATAAAGTTTTTAGGCACAGCTTGGCACTGAACACAGTAAAAATGCATATAAAAAGTAGGCGAGTGAACAGTCGTTTGTACTTAGAAAGTTCCTTAATTTCTTTTAAAACTTGACATCATATCAAGTCTTATGTAAAACTGGTGACTGTAGCCGACCATCAAAAAGATTGGCTTCGGTTGAATCGACCAAACAATATTGCATCCTCTACACAAATTATAATATTATAACACACTCCAATGTAATCTTCAGAGTGCATTCTTTTTTTCTCTATATCACTATCTACTTCGAATGCAACAAGGCAAACTTTTTATCATCAACGAAGTGGTCCCAACCAATTGTGAGTGATGTCTACCTTGTAATCCTTAAGAAGAGCTAAGTGGGGACAAGTTAGTTATTTACATTTAGGTGAGAGTTATGCATAGCCGCTGACATGGAATGCCTATAGACCACAGAATGGCTGTGTGAGAATAACACCTTATCTCTCTCTCACACACTCTAACCAGGATCAACCCTTAATATAGCAGTGATATACTGACTCTCTTATACCGTCTAAGTTTGGACTTAACATGATGTAAGTATACGCAGGACTGTTGCTACTTCAGGAGTGCCTGCTTAAGCTCTAATCATCCTTAATTGTGCCCTCAGGTTATTTTATGTCTAAGTGATTGAAAAGAAATTATCTTAAGACTATGGAAACACACTAGTTGTGACTGTTATTGCAACGGCTTATTCACGGGACCTAAATTTCTGTCTACCTTCTGGTCATTTATTTGCAGATGAACTCTGGCTGCGTTTACAAGACAACATGAAGGTGAAAAGTAAATCTAATGTGAGGAAGTTTCTCAATAGTGAACTTGGAGTCTGTTTGGGCTTCTTCATACAAGTCGACTCAACCCTATGGACAAATAACTTACCGGTTTGTTTAAGTGAAGTGTTTACACAAAATTCCAACTAGGAGAGCAACAGTTGCATCTGACAATAGCTGTAAAATTTTCCGACCGCTTCCATGTCAACGTGGTTCAGTGGTAGAACACCCGCCAACCGTCGGGTTTCGACTCCCGACCGACGCATTCCCAAACCTCTCTCACTCGGTAGCAAGCTGAGTAAAGAGGCTAGCAACCCCGCTCCATAATAAACAATAAGCACCACTGCTATTGAGACTTCAAAACTGAAGTCTAAAGACTTATGCTCCACCCGGAACGCAAGGGAATAAAATAGCAGAAAAAGGCTTACACAGTCATCTATATCAGGAAAGACTAGTTCTGCATTCATCGCCTCGTTAAACCTCCGGTATTAATGTTTGGTTTGATTTTTAAAGTGAATTTGCTCTCAACAATATGGTGAGGCTTTTAACTAGTGGTCTGGTTAGATAAATAGACTCTTACGTGTGGACATATAAGCGAGTCTAATTAATATCAAATAAATTATTTGTGATATAAAGTTAATCATCGTGTTTGTAAAAAAAAAATCTAAAGCTGTTTTACTCGGCCAACCATTTTTAAACATCACACAGGTACATCAAAGTCAATCGGGTTGGTCTCCTGTTTTCGTTACGGAAAATCTTAGTCTCATGTCTATTGGCTTTCTACTGCCCAGTCCTGATCACCCAGTGATTTGGCGTGGACCTCGTAAGAATACACTTATTCGCCAGTTGCTAACTGATACTGCTTGGACTGAAGAAGAGGATGGTAAATTGGATGCAACTGGCAATTTAGACTTTTTAATTATTGACACTCCTCCGGGAACATCAGATGAACATCTTTCAGTCATTCAGTATCTTCAAGCCGCCAACTGTTTAGATGGAGTGATAATCATCACAACACCACAAGAAGTCGCTTTGTGTGATGTTAGAAAGGTAAGAATTCCTATTAATTTAATGTTGTTGTTTTTGTTTTTTCATCTTTCTGCTTAATACTTATGCAAATCATGTTGTCTAGTCCAGTCTTTCAGTGTGAAAAACCGCAGTTGATATTGTCTCTGAAAGTGTACCTATACAGTTTTACTTGTTCTGCTTACTAGCATATATGTTGATATATATTTGTGACTTGTGTAATTAACTGATTTAAAAGATGAACTGACAAATTATCCACGAGAAGTTATCATAAACACTTGTTTTATCTAAATCCCAAAGGTTTACTGGTGAACACACAGCTGTCTCCAAACGTTTGAATAAAGCAAAAAAATAACAGAGGTTTTGTGCAGAATAAGATGATGGCGCCATCATTGTTTATTTCATTGGCTTCTCATTGTAACATACCTGCAAATGTGACCGGATGTTAGTTGACAAAAGGAGGCTCCAAACTCAATGAACAGTGCTCAGAAAATTTCACTTTTATGGTTTTTACCTCTAGAGAGTTCAAATTTAAACCAAAATCAATATATGCATACACAATGATAAAGGGGTTACCTAACAAAGACAAGAGGTGAATACGATGAATTAAGTACGAATAAATTAAGTCACAATGTGTTGAGTTCAACTCCAAATCATAGAAACAAGAGACAAGCAAAGTAACACTATATAAACGTGGAGAGAGGTTAACGCCAAAGACTACGTGATCAAATGAAAGAAAGAATAAAAGCATCCAATTACCAACACAGACACACTCAGAGTGAACATGAGAAGAGTATCTGTCGATGTTTAATGTCTCCAAACAATTTTTTTCTAAACCCTTTTGCCGTACTGGCGGAACACATAGCTTCAAGATTGAGGCTTGAATTTCTAGTAATGGTGATGTGTGTTTTACTTGCTAGCCCCCATACTCAAGCTTCCCTTTTTTTAGAGTTAGTTAGGTTTAGGGGTTGTCAACTTGTCTTCAAAAATTATGCATAACACAACTTCACCATAGGATGCCTTTCCAACTTGAATGCACATCTTCTTTGCTTTCCATTAGATTCTTGACTATTTTTGTTGATAAATTTCGAAGATTTGATGTAGATTCTGATTGAGTTAGCCCGTTCACCTCACCTGCATCGACGCAGTCACAATAACTTATTTGACTCGTATCTTTCAACATGGTATGGCAAGTCTGCTAACATTTCCTACATGAGAACCAGGTGTGTGCATATCATAGATTGTTGTGTGTACAATGAATCTGATCGTAATTACCGAAAGAATCTGATAGAACAGTCTTAGTTCTTATTGTCAGAATATTTTGAAGGAGTTATTTTTTAGGTTGACCGCATAAGATAGGATTATGGTTGGCTGACTGACTGACTGAATTTCAGCATAGAATTCAGCACAGAGTTGTCACTCTCTATGTATCTTACAAAAGTAGACAGTACTATAATAAGTAGAAATCTACGGTAGAAAGATTAGTGAAATAGAAATATCATGAATGCATCTGCACCATTCAAGACGATTTTCAGCTACATCTCCGACTGTCTCTAGCCATTGGCCCTTGGCATCCCGAAGACCCTAGTGAGACAGTTTGCACCTTCTTATGTGGCTGACCCAAACTAATAGTCGAAAACTTCATGGACTGATGACAGGTTATGCCCTGACAACTCCTAACCTTTTTCCGACCTAAACTGATGTCAGCTAACATTCCTCTTCGACGAGGAAGGCGATGGTTCATCATGCCCAACACATGCCCTGGCCATCTCAATCGACATAACTTCACAACCTCATCGATGCACTTACCCCTCTTGCCTAACACTCTAAGATTAGTCTCATTAGTATTCACCATATTATACCACCTAACATGGGAAATACAATGCAAACACCTGTGGTGGTTGTCGGTCGGTCATAGACAGCCAGCCTTTCTTCACATATGTCCCACTCTCAATAGTCATGTCTTACAGACATAGAGGAGGAGACAGCGAAGTACTGCGCAGTATACACGTATTTTGATCGATGGACAGATATCACGCAAGTTAGAGAATCCCACACCAGTCTCTTGTATCCGTACGGAGATTTCGTCCGCAATCAGTCCATTAAGGCTGATGATAATTAGGGAAGCAATATTTGGACACATTCTGTTAGAACTCAGTTATTACCTGAGCCAAACTTTTCACTTACTTGGCCGTCAGCAACATTTATTGTATGAGGCCTGATACTGCTACCCAATTGCCCAGGCTAATTTAAATGGAACGCGATTAAGTCAGTGAACCAGATCCCCCACACGCACATTTATTCTAATGTATTTGAATAGCCCAATTGTTTACTTCTAAGTAAGAATTTCTTTAACTAAAATGATTGATAAATTATAAGATAAATTTTCGGGCTTTCCATTCGTCCAACCCTTTCACACAATCGTTATTATCAACTGGATATCAGTTGTACATTGATCATGTTCTGTTGATATACTATAGTGAGGGGAAATAAAAAATTAATAGTTATAACACAGCTTAAATGACGTTCACACTTATGAAAAAAAATAAACAAAAACAAAAAACTGAGAGGACAATAAAAATGAAGGTTGTTGTTGTAAGGGTGGAGGAAATGGTTTATTTCGTAGTACAAAGAAGGTTAGTTAGTTAGTTCATGCCTAACACTATGTTCATCACATAAAGTACGTGCCAAATATGGTATAGTGGAATTTTTGTACTTAGATGCACGTGCATAAAGTCTCTTGAAAAGACTTCTGTTTTACGTGAGGCGACACAAGGTTGGAGCTGCGGGTGCTGCGGTGGATGCTCACAGTCTGACAAAATTCCTTTAGCAAATTTGTTGCATGAAATCAAGTGCCTATCAGTGACGATGTCAACGATTTGGCCCAATGGGATGCCAATCGCCCTGGTGACTGACAGTCTTCAGAGTTCTACAAAGTATGAAATAGTCCTTTTTAAGCAATCTAGGAAAGAATAAGGGTGAACAGTAAAGAAGAATAGGTAAAATACACGAGTTGAAAAACTGTAAGAGGAGTGGTTGGGTTATGCCTGAGTGCCTTAACTTCTTAATGTAAAGAAGTCAGACGAAATATTCTTTTAGAAATCGCTAAGACATGAGAGGACCAGGATAGGTCAGAAGAAAGAATTAATCCAAGATACTTAACTTCAGACTTGATTTCTATATCAGTATCATCAATTTTGCAAGGGTCATAGAAACCAACGGCTTCATTTAACTTTCGTTTACATCGGAAACTGAAATTGAGAGTCTGACATTTGGAAGGATTTAGTTTAAGGCCGTTAGACGAAGACCATTTGCTAATTCCTGATAGAAAGCTGTTCATCTTAGTACAGTCTAGCTGGGAGTTAACAGACATTGAAATAGTTAGATCATCGGCATACTTAACAAAGTTCTTTTCATCAGAGTGAAGCAAGTTATGAAGGAGGAAAGAAAACAGAAAAGTTTCTGAGACATATAGAATACTATATGCCAAAACAAACAGCTGTTCACTTTTTGATACTGTCCATCTAATTTTAGCTTAATCTGAACAGATTATAATGAGACAAGGTTGTACCTCTAAATCGCTTAATAATCAAAATAAATTTAACAGTATCATCAGTACACTGATATAATCTCAGGTTCTCATTGATGTTATATCGATGGGAATCACCTCTGGTGCAACGAACCCGTACCAGTTATTATCTGCTTCCCATTCATTTTTGATGCTCCCGTTGATTGGGTTGAACATTTTGCGTCCAATCAATCGACGAGAAACTCGAAATTGACCTAACAAACAAACAGTATAATCATTTCATATGATTCATTAAGGTGACCATTGAAAAACTGTGGGTTTTGCGGTGCTAATGCAGTTACTGTCCCTCTGTACGGGGTTAATCACCGAATAATAAATACATTGTAAAACCATCATTATTAATAAACCCAGTAAATTTACAACTTCTTTGTAACTTATCAAGACAAAAGCCTCACCTTTTTTCCATAAAAGGAACCTCCTTTTAACTGCTTCCACTCAGTTTCATGAATCAAATTCACTATAAATGCCATGCATTAGAATAGTACTATATACATATTCTATTCAGTTTGTTACGGTCAGAATATTGACTGAAATTGAACAGTTTATTTTCTCTCCGTGTCTCTCACACTTTTCCTACCTATACACACTTCCGTTATCTGTTTGTTTGTTTCTTTGTGTGTATACAGTTTTGTTTTGGAAGCTTCCTGTACACGCGTACATACATGCATCCATACATACATACCAAAAGGAGCACATTCACAGACACGTGATAACGGGGTAATACACGCTGCTTTGAAAAGATGGATCAGGAATTTGCTACTTCCACGCCACGTGTACTGGTTGCTTTTAAAGTTAAAAACTACATTTTAAGCAATTAGCAATTAAAATTCCCTCCGTATTAATTATTGTAAAGTAGAAAGGTGTTATTGTACTTCTTGTGTTACGTACGCAAAACAAAATAATACTAGTTGTTATTGTAATAATAGTGTGACGATAGGACATTGTAGTATTTGGTAGCGGATTGTTCATTTTCATGTTAGTTTGTAGAGGAATCACGGATTGAAAACAAGTAGGGAGTATTGGACAGCTGTTTCGTCCTAATTTGGAGATCATAAGCAGCACATACACACTCACCGGAGTTGGAACCCATGACATCCCGGTTACAAGACAAGCTCGTCAACCATTTTATTTGACAGAATGATGTACAGTCCCTGCTTTAACGTGTTTTCTGTATTATGCTTCTTTCGTCTTCCTTTCATATTCTTCTAGGAGATACCGCACACACGATATTGTGATTATTATTCCCTTTGGTACCGAGTGGAACACAGGGCTTCAGCAGCGTTTCATCTTGCACTCTGAAGTCATCTTTAGCTAGCTCCACGATTGCCCATAAGCTCTCATCTCCTTCGTGTCACTGACTAACGCCCAACTTTTCGTTTCCCACATGATCCCAGGTGCATAATTCGCTGTCTTTTTCAACTTTAGTATTATTTTC